CCCACATTTGAGCTGGAGGAAATGATCCTGGAGTCCAAACCGCTTCACAAGAAGAAGAAAAGGCTTGCTAGAAAAACCAAGGACCAGGGATCAGATGGCTCCCCACAGGTAAGGTGCTGGGAAAATACTGAATGTGTTCTTCCAATATCAGAGTAGCACATGATAACAAAGGCCCTACGTAGCTGTGTACGTAACAGGATGTATGATTACCTAGAAGAGCATCAGGACACACTGTTTTAGGCATGATAGCTATGCGACAACCATTAACATGATGATTCCGCCTCTATGGAGTCAGACATATGACTGTCATGTTTATTGGTTACGCAGGCCTTAGCTAATCTGAACAAAAAATTGAATACTGCTTTGAACCGGTATTCTCCATCTTGTGACTGTGTAACACCCTCTCTTGTATACAGTATAAGCATGTCAAGGACACTATTCAGGGAACTATTTGTCCCATGCAGCACTGTGTGTGATGATAGTTCCATTCTTGCAAGGATAATAAATACATGTATCCTGATATTGAAGACCAAGCCGGTGACGAGTGATATTTTTCCTAACAACTCCACAACATTTACTTTGTACCTTTGGTTACTTCACAGATGTGGATGAATGATGTGAAATATAATCAAGTGTTAAATCAGACTTTAGTTCCACCTGGAGTAAATTCACAAGCTACCCTGCAGTATACAAAGTCATTCAAACTAGCTGCACCTTTACCAGCTTTAATGATCAATCATTATAAAACACATCATATATATTATTCTGAAATAGACCAATCGGCACAATGACTACTTTTAGTACTTTAAGTTTATTTAGATGCTAATACTTTTGTACTTTTACTTGAGTAACATTTTGCATGCAGGACTTTTACTGTAACAGAGTATTCCTACACTCTGGTACTTCTAATTAAGTACAAGATCTGAGTACTTCCCCATCTGCATAATGTAGAGTAGCAGTCATAGCTACACCCGCTTGCAGTACAAATACTTCCTCCCTCAGTTTGAAGGCCAGTTTAAGCTGTGTGGAAGCAGATGGGACAACATGTTGATCAATATCCTTAGACCAGTTTTGTCTTCTCATATCTCTCGATGACAGAGAAAGAAAACTGCGTTGGTCTTGATGTGTTTTGTAGCAATCACCATTTACAATTTTTTTTTTGTTGATATATTTAAAAATATGGTCTGAGCATAATTTTACAGATTGACAATTATATTTAATTTCATATTAAAACAAAGGCTGCTGCTGTTACAAAAGAAACATAATGTAAATAAATGAAAACAAACAGTTCTTCAGTACATACTGTATTCTTTATTGAATGAAGCAAAAAAGAATAAAGAGAATTTCAATCCCCTATTATGAAAATAAATAAATCATTTTCTTTGTCTCACAGAAGCCCAGAACACATTTGCAGCAGCTGATTTCCTCTTGTCATTTTATTTTTAAAAAACCAGGCGATTTTATTTCCCGCTGACAAGAGTTCATTCAGCTGAAACACGAAGTAGTAAATAATAAAAACATGAGACGCTCGGTTTTGGCACGAGATAAACGCTCGCGAGAGATAAGAGAGAGAGCTAAAGAAAAGAAGCAGAGGGATTAAATCATATTCAGCAGTGCATTTGGTTGAGCTCATGTAGGGACACCTGATGGCACAGACCTCCGCCATTTTATTCCCCAAAAATCCTTTGTCAAAGTAAAACATTAAAATCTCAATGTGCAAGTTAAGCGCTGCCATGGTGACTAGTTACAGACTTGTTCTTCAACATACCTGCTGAAAGGCAAGAAAACCCTCTACCTGCTGTAGAGATTCCACTTTCACTGTACCAGCTAGCCGCATTCCCATTGGCTTTCAACAGGGAGCGCTACATATGCTAATGAGCATTTATGTTAAACTAAAAGTAAAATGTTTCCTGCAACGCTTCAGGGGAAGTAGAGATGATGGTGATGATGACGTAATGACTGCTGACCTGCTGTTACACAATACAGCTGGAGTGTGTGTGGACGGAGGAAGGTGTGTGTGTGTGTGTGTGTGTGTGTGTGTGTGTGTGTGTTTGACCTTTAAACTCAGGTTCAGGCTTCACTCCACCACAGTCAACTTTTTATTTTCAGTTTGTTTCATGTTGGCTAAAATGTCTTCATGTCTTGACTGCAGAACAGAGAGAAAAAGACCCAAACTTCTGTTGTTACACAGCACCAGACCTTGTTCAATATGTCGCTGATTTAAGAGCACTATCTTGTAGTTCTTGCATTGCTAGATCAGCGTTTCTAATATATTGAATTGACAGTGAATTGAAAGCAACAGGAGCTTTATCATCTGTTGCATTTTCTCTCAATGACATCTCTGTCCATCTTTAGACTCGGTATATCATGTATTACTCAAGTTTAGATGCTTGAGTATCAAATACTTTGTATCAGTAGTAGTCTGTGTTAAAGCAACATGTTGTGTTGCTGTAGTGGAGCTGAGTGCTGCTGTAGTACTGAACAGTGCACAGTACTTACTGCACTGACAGTTCATGTCTTTACTGCAGTAGTACATTGTGTACTTCAGTAGTACACTTATATACTACGAATAGAATAATAACACAATGCGTCTGCTACAATAATACCAAATACAGATACCATAATGTACACATTGCAGGTCGGTCTCAGGTTACTGGAATAAGATGTCGGAGTAACAATGAATTTCTTCAGAGAAAACGTGGAGATTCTCTGATATCAAAGTGGTACATTTACAAAGAAAAATGTTATATTCCCCGAAGATATAAAGTTAAGGAGAAAAACTTGAATATACTCTGAGATAATAAATGTATATATTCGCAAGAAAATCTGGAATATTCCGGAATATTAAGGAATATATATATATTTTTCCCATACAAAGTCCCCAATAAGTTGTATCAATTTCTGCAGTTTTTAAACTGTAAAATTAGTGATGATCTTTATGAAGTACACTGTGTACTTTGTAATATGCAGTACATGTGTACTAAGTATTTCTCCATGTTTGGAGAATCTGCAGTGTGCTGTAATTGTAGAAGTACGCAAATGTATTATTAGCATATGCAGTATTACAATGTGTGTGTGAGTGTGTGTGTTGATGCAGCGAAAGTGTCAACACTGAATCCAGGAGGGTTGGGGGTCAAAGGTCAGACAGGTGAAGGTTTATTCCAGGTGTTGCAGGTCACAGGTCACAGGTCTACTGCTGGTCTTTGAACGCGTCCAGGCCGAAGGCGTTGTCCAGTAAGCGCTTCAGCTCCATCAGGTGAGCCTTCTTGTTTCCTGTCGCTGGGGCGGCAGCGGGGCCTCTGCCAGCATACCTGAAGAGAGAGAGAGAGAGAGAGGGGGGGG